ATAGCGACTCGTCAAAAATTAAGAGAACTTGGCTGGGAAGTTTTGATGCATCCACCTTATAGTCCTGACCTTGCACCATCAGACTACCATTTGTTTCGATCTCTACAGAACTCTCTTAATGGTACAAAGTTGACTTCAAGAGAGGCCTGTGAAAATCACTTGTCACAGTTTTTCGCTAAGAAATCACACAAGTTCTACAGTGACGGGATTATGGTTTTACCTCAAAGATGGCAAAAGGTGGTCGAACAAAACGGCACATATTTAATTTCATAAGCTTCATTTCAAATATGAATAAAATTTGTTTCATTTCTGCAATAAAATACGAAGAAACTTATTCCCCAACCAATATAATATACATGGTTTTTTGTGTATTTTGTATCTATATATATGTATGTAGTATTTTTAAGAAAATAAAATAAAATTTATAAAGCACAGAGCAGCAAATGATGATGTAAAAGGAGATGATATTTGACTACACTCCACGAATTCTGATGTTGCTCGCTAAAATAAGATTCTTTTCTTGACTATCACATCTTTTCTGGTACATCACATTTATGTTGTACAAAAAGTTGCAATGGTTTTTCTTATCCTTTTCTGTTTTCCTTTCTCATCTTCTCATCACGAGATCGGTCATTTTAAATTTCAAAAAAAATCAAATTCACGCTCTCGAATATACTCACACACCTAAAGAAAGTGCCCATTTAAACTCGTGCACATAACACAGAATAGAACCGCACGCTGTGGACATAGCGCACCGACGTGTCGCTCGTGGACTGGCTGCGTAGTCCAATGTGTCCAATGTGTACCACCCGCGGACATGCGCTAGTTTACGGGGCGGAAAAGTGATTCCACATTCTCTTATGGACCTGGCCGCTCTCAGGCTTCTCTCTGGTAAGAGCAGCAAATATACCTAGCGGAAGCAATCCTAGAAAATGTAAGTCACGTGACGTTTTGCTGCCGCAGCGTACTGCTGTATGAAAAGGTATCTTCAGAGCAACGAGAGGCGGGGTGAACGAGCGTGGCGTGTGACTTGGCTGACTTCGTGGTCAGCCGCTATTTGGTGGTAAGCAAAGGAGTGAGCAATGTGATTGTGGAGCAATGTTCGAAGGATAAGAAGCCACTGCTCTCCGCGAACAGCTGACAATCACATATGCCTACAGAGTTAGGATCATTGCTTCTCACGCGCTCATTGGCACACATTTATTACTTTGTATCTCGTTAACTATTGCAAAATTTGCAAAATGACAAATACCTTTTCTATTCAGTTTGACTCAATCTATCTCCATACTTCGGCTTTGTCAAAATTTTACGATACCCTATATATTTTATATATATTCTAAAACCATAATTACTAAAAAAAATAAAATTTAAAAAGACACAATAAAAACATTAAATTTGGAAAAAGGAATGTTTTTCTGATAGCATTTGGAAGAAAGATTCTGCAGAAATAGTGTGTTTTAGTTATTTTTATAATTTTTGGTTACTTTTTTTTAACGCAGCGTGTGGTTCTGGTCCCTGGTTTTAGTCAATAGTCTCTAAATCGTCAAAAAAAACAGACTACAATATATATATACATATATTACATACACAAAAAACTCTTGTGACAATTCAGGATTATAGACGAATCGAGATCTGAAATTCAGTTCATTTACAAAGTCCCATACAGCACCGCAGCTTCCAATAATATTTCAGAAACGTTGCAACATTGCAAGTTGCAAAGTAATATTGTAAAGATGTTTTAGAAATATATAATAACAATATTTTGCCAAAATGTTTTAGCAATGTTTCATTATAGTATGTTTCTAGTATATTATCTAGTAAATTAATTCTAGTATATTATCAGAAATACTTTTGAATAGCTATTAACGAACATGTATATATATATACTACATCGAACTAAACGTCTACAAGTAAGTATTTACAACTTTGAATGCGCAAATTGTGCGTAAATATATAAATGAAAGAATAATTGATATTTATACAGGTTGTAAATGATCGGGAGAAGCGCATGATAAATCGACTTAGTAACTGGTTCAAAGACTATACCAACCAGTTAGTCGTGTGTAAGTTTATTATTTTGATATACTTTAATTTAGCTATTCTAAAACGCTCTGTGCAATAGAATTTTTTACGAAAGACTATACTGTTTTAATAACATTATAGGGATGAAAATAAAAGACATCGTCAGCAGATACTAGAAATATCACATTTTTTTGAATTTCAACGACAAGAATTTAATTCAATAGGCATATCGCAACATTTAGATCTAACAAACATCGATTTGAATACCGATGTTACGGTAGAAATTTAATAACTAATAGTTTATTCCTTACAATGAATAAAATTCAGAAAATGAGTGTGTTACACATATTTCTTACTATGTTAAACTATATATTCTCATAAGATATACTTTGTTACATACATATGTACACAAATATATAACAATCTGCTTACAAAAATGTTATTCTCCCAAATATCAAAAAAGATTTATATAAAAGTTTTATCATCAATTTATATTAAAATATCTCTATTACTGTTTTTGCTTCAAATATTTAATGTATAGTTTAATACTAGCTTGTACTTGTGGTAACGTCACATTATTTATAAAGTTCTTCAAATCTTCTTCTTTGTTTTCCTTCATGTACTTAATTAAATCACTTCGTATTTCTAACTTGGTTGCAGTTCTCCCCACATCTGTATTGTTAACATGTGATCAGTATAAAAACAACATTATCAACACACTTTTGAAACATAATATCAAAATATCATTAACCTGGTATATTATCATAAGACAATATGTATTTTTTGCATTTTTCAATTGCATCAGCCTTATCTTTAGCAAGTTCATCAACTAGACCAAGTTGCAAAGCTTTTTCAGGTTTAAACAGCAATCCCCTGTACCAATAACGTCATTAATACTTATTATGCATATTTATTAATCTTGCTTACCTTAAAAGTGCCAGTTCGGCTTGTCGATAACCCAACAATGAAATGTACGGATCCTTGAACCATTTTGGAGCACACATACCCAATTGCGTTTCGTTTAATCCTAGAGTGTGCTTTCCTTCGACAAAAACTCTATATTCCGTAGTAATTGCCAGTAAGCAGCCTCCAGCAGGACTGGCACCCTATATGCAAAAAAAATGTTTCCACTCGTTACACAGATATGATATACACACATATGTAAAGTTTTATAACTAACACATTAATATTCTTAAGAAAAATTTTGTACATTTATAGCAGTAGCAACAGGAATACTAAGGCTGTATAGAGTCAACCAAGTGTCCTGTAAAGTATGCCAAAATTCTGTAAGTTTTTGTTTATCTTCTGTTTGCATTTCCATGATATCCAATCCTGCTGAGAATATGGTTGGTAAAGATGATGTCAGTACAACACCTTTGCTACGATTGCTTTGAGCTTCTAATAATGATGTTCTCAGTGAATTTAATAAATTGGTGTTCAAACTGTTAACAGGTGCTCTTGCCATTGATATAATGCTGATTCCTGAAAATTACCATATATATTTACAAAAGTATTACACAAGAACAGTTTTAATAAACAGAAGTGTATATTATTAAGTGTGTGTGCATACCTGTATCATTATCTTGCACAGTCTCAACAAGTTTTGACCCTGAAGAGTACAATCTGCGAAGATATACTTGTCTTGCAGGAATCAAAGTCTTTAAAATATTCATGTTGACTAACAAAATACAATTTTAGACAGCAAACTGAAGAATATTATATTAATTGCTGTAAACATATTAAATAAAATTTAGAACAGATACAGAATTATAAATAAATAGAATAATAATATACAAGTTATAATTGCTTAGTCCAACTCTTTCATTTTAAAATGGTTTACATAATCCTGCTCTGTTCAAACAATACAGAAACAAAACACAAATAATCAAGCAGATAAAGCATAATAAGAAATATACTCATCAGAGATATATATCCATCAATTTAATTTCTCTATACTCTTAAAAATATCACTCCAATTCTAAAATTTCTCACGTCATCATGATTATCAAATATTAATAAGGATTTGAATACATATTAATAACTGATTAAGAACATATGTATGTTAAATTCGATTGTTCAATTTATACAATTCTCAATATTTGTGTTGGAATACGTACATTTTATGTATTGTGCGTAATAATACCGTATATTTTCACAAAACTGTGAAAATATGCGTTTTCAGGCGTTTTTATTTATAATAACTTTTACTGCTAATCAATCGATTGCAGAAAACCTAATGTTCCAACTGCTATACAATTAAGGGCTGTCTTACAATAAGATATTAATAATAAATCAGAAGTCAGAAGCAAGAAATTGACCAATCACAGTCAAATCACAGAAAAATAATCGATTGTGATTAGTCAATTTCTTGTTTCTGACTTCTGATTTATTACTCATATCTTATTGTAGAAGGCCCTTAACATTTCTACTTGCTTCTGTAGAATCCAGTGGAACCAGCATTTGTGGCGCTCTCTGAAATAGTGCGTTGATAAAATGGAATTAAAGTCTAATATAGTGTTCAGAGTTATACACACACACACACACACACAACACCATACATACATATATACAGGGTGTCCCAGAATTGCCATACAATTTCTCGTAGGCAGGTAGAAAGAGTAAAACTGAGTCAAAAAGTCCTGAACCATTTTTTTCTATTATTTATAATAAAGGAGTAATTATTGAGTAAATCAGGCCAATCAGCGCAGATCTTTAGCCAGGCGCACGTCAGTAAGCCGCGCGTCTGGTGTATGTGAGTGCTCACTGACGTGTGCCTGGCTAAAGGTCTGCGCTGATTGGCCTGATTTACTCAATAATTACTCCTTTATTATAGATAATAGAAAAAAATGGTTCAGGACTTTTCGACTCAGTTTTACTCCTTCTACCTGCCTACGAGAGATTGTACGGCAATTCTGGGACACCCTGTATACATTTAGGTTACTACACTATTTTATTATTATTTTTTCTTTAAATAAAAAATGATAGTCAAAAGTTTTTCTTTATTGTCATAATTTATTAAAATATATATAAATATACATATTACAAAATATATATAATGTAAATATTATAAATATAATATATATAATATAAATGTCAACATTTTACTGTTTTGTTTTTCTTAGAATATTTCAGAGACATTGTTTTAGCTTGAATATATATAAAATTAGCATCGCATTCTTGTATTTTACTAATTAATATGTTGTTAATAAATTTGCATTGTACAATAAATTCTTTTGCAGTTACTTCTATTATAATATTATCCAATAGAACAATGTATTATAAATGTCGGAATTTCACTATTGAAAATAGTTTTTAATTTTTTTTTTACTTGTGTTTCGTGACAAAACTGAGGAACCTGCAATTCGGCAACGTCTAACGCATGTTGAATCTTTGACTATATAAACATGGACTGCTAGTCGGGAGATCTGGTCGTAGACAACATTGAACAGCGCACTCTGAGTTTGGGCCAATAAATAACAATTACTAACGTAACTCGTGACGTCACGTCGCGCGTTACGTGGTCTTCCAGTTTTTACGTGTTTATGAAGATAATACGCACTAAAGTACGCACTTTGCAAAATGCAATTAAAAAAACCAGTGATCTCAAAAAAATACAACATGGTGCGTTATTGTTTTATAGAAGGCTGCAGAAGCACAAAATATAAACGACGACACGAGGAAAATAATACCAGCTTGAATTTTTTTGCGTATGTACTGATTTTTGTAGCTCAATTCTTTACTATTTTAAACTGATTTTGTCATTTATGTAGGATTATTTGTTCAAAAGGAAAAATAATCTCCTCGTTTTCGATGATGAACAGAATAAAATATACTTTGTTAATAATTGAAATATAACTGCGCGGACAATTAAAATATAACGGCTAGGAGATCACAAAAGTCAATCGACTCAGAGCAGCGGATAACGACTGTTTTATTTTGCTCGTCAAACGGCCCCGACAGCGCCGCAGTTCGCTTATCTCTTGTTTTCCATCGTCAAGGACACAGCGAGTATTCCCACTTCTGGGGTTTTGCTCCTCACGTGCAGGGGCGTGCGTCATTTATGCAAAAAGCATTCCCACTTCTGTCAAATCTACCGGCATCGATCACGGGCTTTTCAATAATTGCTCGACTCAAAAAGAGTTTTTCGCGCCGCGCCTAACGCCGCGTGGTCCAATAAATCAACATCCTACATTTATATTAATCTCATACATATTTGTGTATTATAAATTGTCAGATTCCTAAGCAATCCTGTACTCAAAGAGCAGTGGATTGAAGCAATTGCCACTTTAAACCTGCAAGAAAGTGTAAGAAATGTTCCTAAAAATAGCCGTATCTGTGAATTACATTTTCACAAAAGTTGTTGAAACAATTTGGATATTAAACTCCGACTAAAGCGAAATGTTGTACCTAGCATATTTCCTCGAAGTAGAAGAGAAAGATAATTAATGTTATAAGAACGTAATTAAAACATAACAATTAATCTTTATATGTAGATTTAATTATATTTAATTATATGAGTTTACAGTGTTATGGAAAAAGAAACTGCTTTGCAAGAAATTAATTCAACAAAAAAATAAATTCAAGCTTTCTTTGTCGCAAAAGTCGAGGATTTCTACGATATCCCAGAAAAGATTCATATAAAGTTAGTATTTGCGTAGAAAAAATTTTTAATTTCTAAAAACTCAATAACAATTTGAATCCAAAAACTTGTTACCAAAAAATAATGAATGATACGTTTAGAAATTTAAATATGCATACTTTGTTTTTAAATTTTGAAGATTATGTTAAAGAATTAGATATGTTAGAAAACCACAAATATATGAATTAATAAAGTTATTTATATCGTTATATTTAGACAAAAATGTCACATTTAGCAAAAACACTTACGTTTAAGGCTCACGATACTTTTGTCAGACACACAAATAAAAAATTAACAATATTAGAAGGTCAGTAATTTGTAAAAAACTTGTTTTAAAACAATGTTATCAGTATGTTACAAATGTTAATATATGTTAAATATATGTTTAATGTTAATATATGTTAATGGCTATCGTGTGGTACATATACCAAAGTGTACCAAACTATAATTTGAAGTCACTCGAACTATAGTTTGGTACACTGGTATATGTACCATACGATCGCCAAAAATCGCCTTTTCTTATCTATGTTACCTACGCTGCTTATGCATTGCTTAAATAGGAAAAGTGGGGGCAACTGGCAGTTCATGTTTATATAGTCAAAGGGTTTGCCACCATCAACATCAGTGGCAAAGCCGAATATCCATGGGTCTAAGCTCCTGCTCTGTATTTGGTGGGATCAGAGGGGCGTGATTTATTATGAACTGCTAAATCCGAATGAAACCATAACTAGGGATCGCTACCGACTACAATTGATGCGCTTGAGCCGTGCATTGAAAGAAAAACGGCCGGAATACTCCAAAAGACACGACAAAGTCATTTTGCTGCACGACAATGCTCGTCCGCACGTCGCAAAGCCGGTACAAACATACCTGGAAACACTTAAATGGGAAGTCCTACCCCACTCGCTGTATTCTCCAGATGTTGCTCCTTCTGATTACCATTTGTTTCGTTTGATGGCTCATAGCCTGTCTGAGCAGAAGTTCACTTCTTACGAAGATTGTCAAAAATAGATCGATTCGTGGATTGCATCTAAAGACGAAGCGTTCTTCCGACACGGTATTCGTTCCCTGCCCGAAAGATGGTCAAAAGTAATAGAAAGTGATGGGCAATACTTTAATTAATGTATTTTTTGATTTTCATTTAAAATAAATAATTTTTTTCATTAAAAGAACGCTACAAATTAATTCCAATTTCTTTGTATAAATATATATATATATATATTGTATTACGTATATTTGCGAATTGTATGAACCAAAATGTATATAAAAAAAAAAACGTCAGTTAACCACGCGCCTGGTGTGCGTGAGCACTCCGTTCAGCTAAAGGTCGACGCTGATTGGTTTGATTTATTCAATAATTACTCTATTATATGTAATAGAAAAAAATGGTTCAGGACTTTTTGATTCAGTTTTACTTCTACCTACGAGAGATTTTACCCAGGCAACCAGCTGACGTTATAATGACGTTAATATAAAGTCAGTTTTTGACCAGTTCGACGTTAGTTTATGACGTGATATTAACGTAATGACGACGTGAGTTTGTCTCGTCAAAAATGACGTCATGTTAATGACGTTTACTTACGTCATTAATCTGACGTAACGTGATTAACGTGAAAAAAACTAATGACACAT